ATCTTAGCAAATTTTGTTTGCGTTTGAAAGATGTCGTCCGAACAAGAAAAAACTAGAAAAAAAATTTATACAAAATAATAGAAAATCCTATGGCAAGTTATTCTGTTGTGGCGCGGGAGACAAATGCTTCATTATGTACTGTTAAAAGGGTGGTACGTCGATACAATGAAGGGTTGACAACACAAAGAAAACCAGGTTCGGGAAGAAAAAGAGGACTCACCAATAAAACACTCGCTGCGAAGATAGTCTCAAAATTTAAACAAAAACTTAACACCTCGGTTCGAGATATGGCCAAAAAAATGGGAACATCAAAATCGTATGTCCACAAGGTAAAAAAACGATATAATCTGAAGTCATTTAAAGTAATTAAAGTGCCAGATCGATCTTCCGAAAAACTTACGTTAGCTAAAAGGCGTGCCAGAAAATTGTATGAACAGTATATTACAAAATTTGATTGTGTTGTTATGGATGATGAAACTTATTGCAAGGCTGATTTTAAACAATTGCCTAGTCTGGAATTTTATACTGCCGGTAAAAGAGAAGGGGCTAACTCACAATTTACCCAAAAAAGGTTGAAAAATTCCCAAAGAAGTATATGATTTGGCAAGCAATTTGTAGCTGTGGTTTATGGTGCAAGGAGGTGGTCGTACAAGGTTCAATAAACTCAAAAATTTATATCGAAAAGTGTCTCGAAGGATCGTTAAAGAGGTTTATACAACGACATAGTGGATCTATGCTATTTTGGCCAGATTTAGCAACAAGTCATTATGCAGAAGACACAATTGAGTGGTATAACACACACGATATTCATTTTGTTCCCAAAGAGGCAAATCCACCAAATTGCACGGAGCTCCGCCCAATTGAGAGATATTGGGCGCTGATGAAAATAGCATTGAAGATGACTAAGAAGGTCGCACGCAAGACTTTCGCAATAAGTGGCAAAGAGCATACACAGTGGTTGACAAAAACACTGTACAAACGCTTATGAAGGGAGTTTCGAGTAAATTGCGAAAATTTAAAATTTTTTAAAAGGTTAAATTTTTTCGTGGACAGGCCTTATATAGACAGACACAAAGGCAGGCGAAGATAACTAGGATCGACTCTGCTACAAGGATTTCAACAGACATATAGATAGACAGAAAGGTAGACGGAGATAACTAGTATCGACTCTGCTACCTATAAGGGGAAGAGTATAAAAATAAATCAGCGTTAAAATAACCTATGATTTATAATGTAATGTAATTAAAAAAAATAAATTTTTAAAAGTAATTATGAAAATAGTTTCCAGAAGGGAGATAAAACACAAAAACAAAAATATATATAAATTTTGGCTTAGTTTAGCAAACAAAAGATTGTTTCTCTCAAACTTTTTTAATATAAGTAAAATAAATAAAAGATAAAGGGTTAATTTAAAATTATAAAAAAACTTCATGTTTTTCTAACTTAAAAAAAATCTAAAATTTTAAAATTAATTTCATTCATTTATAATTTAATATTGTCTAAAAGCCTAATTTAATATTCTGCATATTCCTGGTCTTTCAAACAAAATCTGTATGTGACTTTCTTAACTTCCAATTCAATAACCAAAGTTCAAAGACTTATAAGCATACGAAACCTATATAACCATCAATCAAAATTCACAGAACAAATGTCTAATATCAATCCAGACATTGCCAGACAGTCGCCAGAAATTATACATACATATTTGTAAAGAGAGCATAAGATGTTAGTAGGTTCTTCCATAAACATACTCATGGCATAAATAATGAACTATCAAATTACATGGATAAATAAAGTCAAAGACAGAGATAATTTAATTAAAAATAAAATCTATTATTAGCAACTGAAGTAAATTTAAATTTTGTTATACATAAGTTTAAGACTAACTTTAAGACTGGCAAAGCTAAAAATCAAATTATTAGGGAATTATAGAAGTATAAACTTTAACTAGTTCAAAGTTTAGTAAATTTTCAAAAAAAAAAAAAAAAAAAAACACAAACTACGTTCAAGAAATCCTCCCTTGCCTTCATCATTAAATTTAAAAACATATGGGTAACTTCCTCTTAAATTACTTAAGATTTTCATTAAAATAAATAAAATTTTAATGATTACTTTTGCTCATAAATCTAATAACAAAAAACACATTTTAACAAAGTTTGGCACCCACTGGCTTCTTAACAAAATCCCAGACGTTATAATGTTTTGGTAATGTTTTTACTGCTGCTTCTGTTATTATTGTTGTTAAATAAATAACACAGTTAAAACAAAAGTACAAAATAGTCGTATAAGCCGAACAAAAAGTAGCAACAACAAAAAAAATTGCCAAAAGAAAATTTCTAGTGAAGAATTATGACGGTGAGATATAAAGCCACACACACACATAAAGCAACAATAATATTAATGTTAAGCTAAAGGGGCAAAAAAAAAACAACAAAAAGAAAAACCTAAGATGGTAATAGGCAAATATGAAATACATTACGTAAACACAACACAGACAACAAACAATATTGACAATGTAGCGTTTTTTAATATTCTCAAAAACGTTTTTTTTTTTTCATTAGTTAGCAACTACAGACTATATATCAGTCTTTAGACTACCGAATCGACTATACAACACTACAGAATATTAGACTATATAAAACTATAGTATATATATTGTGCCGACCACAGAAAATAATATAGTCCAGACCATATACTATAGTCTACTCTATAAAATAGAATACAGACCAAACTGTAGGCTAGACATCAGACAAGACTATAGGCAAGGCTATAGTCCAGACTATAGACAATATTATAGGAAAGACTATAGGCAAGACTATAGACAAGACAACAGTCCATACTATAGACAAAGCTATAGTCCAGAATGAAGACAAGACTATAGTCCAGATTACATTACACTCTATAGACAAGACTATTGACAAAGCTATAGTTCAGACTATAGTCATGATTATAATCTAGACTATAGACCATACTATCGACAAAGCTAAAGTCCAGACTATAGACAAAACTATAGACAATACTATAGACTAGACTATAGACCAGACTACAGACCAGACTATAGACAAGACTAATTACACATAAGACTAGAAAAAGCTATACTCCAGACTATATACAAAACTATAGTTTCGACTACACAAAGCTATAGTCCAGACTACAGACAAAGCTAAGTTTAAGAACACAAGGCTATAGTCTAGACTATAGACTAGCCTACAGCCCAGACTTCAGACAAGATTATAGGCAAGGCTATAGTCCAGAATATAGACCAGATTATAGAAAAGACTATAGACAATACTACAAGCATGACTATAGATAAGACAATAGTCCATACTATAGACAAAGCTATAGTCCAGAATGAAGACATGACTATAGTCAAGACAATATTCCACTCTCTAGACAAGACTATAGACAAAGCTATACTTCAGACTATAGGCATGACTGTAATCAAGACTATAGACAATGTTATTGGCAAGACTATTGTCAAGACTATAGGCAAGACTATAGTCTGGACTATAGCTTTGTCTGAAGTCATGTCTATAGTCTGTACGATAGTCATGTCTATAGTCTGGACTATAGTCATGTCTATAGTCTGGACTATAGTCTACAACTCCTAACTATAGTCATGTCTATAGTCTGGACTATAGACAAAGCTATAGTTCAGACTATAGATAAAGCTATAGTCCAGACTATAGATAAAGCTATAGTCCAGACTATAGATAAAGCTATAGTCCAGACTATAGACATAACTATAGTCCAGACTATAGATATGACTATAGTCCAGACTATAGACATGACTATAGTCCAGACTATAGATATGACTATAGTCCAGACTATAGACATGACTATAGTCCAGACTATAGACATGACTATAGTGCAGACTATAGACATGACTACAGTCTAGAATATAGACAAAGCTATAGTACAGACTATAGACATGACTATAGTCCAGACTATAGACATGTCTGACTATAGACAAAGCTATAGTCCAGACTATAGATAAAGCTATAGTCCAGACTATAGACATAACTATAGTCCAGACTATAGATATGACTATAGTCCAGACTATAGACATAACTATAGTCCAGACTATATACATGACTATAGTCCAGATTATAAACATGACTATAGTCCAGACTATATACATGACTATAGCCCAAACTTCAGACAAAGCTATAGTCCAGACTATAGATCAGACTACAGACATGACTATAGTCCAGACTAAAGACTAGAATTTAGTTCTTTCTATAACTTCCTCTTATATTTGGCAATTTTTTTAAAGTTTACATCACTGTCAGCAAATAACTTTATATACTCAAACCCTATTGCTACGTTGCAAATTTACACACACACACTTCTAACAAACATACTCCAGGACTCGGGTAAGAAAAAATCTCAAGAAAGCAAACAAAACCGAAAAAATACAGACCCTAAAGCAACACAACCAAATTGTGTTAAAAAATTGTTTCGTGTTTGCCTTCCTTGGTTTGGGTTTCTACTTATAACTGTGTCGGATATATGGAAGTTTAAAAGTACAATTAAAACCACAAACTTCCATTGCAGAACCAACCAACCAAACACCCTCCCAATTGTATGCTATGCTTGCGTATGGGAGAGATGGTCTCTTATAGAACTGTAAATTGGTTGAGGTTTAATTAAATAAATGATAAATTTTTTGGTTTCTTCAAAAGCTCCAGCGTTTACGTTTTTCTGTAATTTTGAGTTTTTCCTTTCGTCTTAAAGAGTGTAGAGGTAGAGGAAGCGAGTAAAAATAAAAAAAAAACAGGAAGTCAAAGAGAAAATTTGATTATAAGCAGATGAGTGTTAGACATATAAGCTTGAACAAAAATTATATTTTGTGAGAAAAAGCTCAATCAGTTTCGAGGAAATTTTATTAATGTATTTTATTAAATTACTTATGAAATATTTTGAAGTCATAAGAAATTAATATGTTTTTTATTTTTCATATATATTTAACAATTTCTCATAATTTCCTCTTCTTGCAGGTCATCAACTGTGGCGATTTAGACAGTTATCCCTTATTACAATACTTGGATTTATCATTTAGCCACATAGAGCATATTGAAGATGATGCCTTGGGCCGCTTGGAAATTTTAGAGATTCTCATGTTAGATCACAATAAATTAAGCAAAGTACCCATTAGTCTACCCATTTCACTGGAGCATTTATTTTTACAAAATAATGATATAATGGAAATACCTCAACAGGCTTTTCAGGGTCTTAATAACTTAAAAACATTAGATTTGTCACACAATAAACTGCTGTATTTGCCTGATATTATGCTGCCAAAATTACAGACACTAAATCTACAATCCTCGGAAATAAGAGGTATAAGTCAGGGTATTATACACTCTTTGCCAAAGTTAAATGATCTAATGCTGGAGGATAATCCCATTAAATGTGCTGATCTCTTGGGTATAGCCGAATGGGCCAGCACCTGTCGTTTAAGGGTGGAAAAGGAGCAGGAAGGTGAGGATGAGCAGGATGAACAAGAAAATTTTGTAATTAAAATACAAGATTTAAAGAATAAATTTGAAAAAATGCATAACTTTTACGAACAATTTGGTTTAAATACTTCTACGCTGAATAACAGATTATTGAATGACTTAAAACCTCCCGCTTGTGTACAAGAGAATTCTGTGCAAAACATAGTTAAGAACCAAAATCTAGAGATTGGAGATAAAAAGAAATTCAAGTCAACATCTCTTGCCTTAAATAAACCATTGGAGGAAACAAACTTTAATCAAAATTCTATGAATTCCAGTCCGTTATTATCAACAACAACAGCAGCTACTGTCGAAAAAACTTCAAGACAACACAATAATAATCAAACAGATACAGAAAGAAGACGCAAGGCAGTTGAAAGCGTAGAAGAGCTGCAACAAAAACTTGAAGATGAAACTGCAGTAAAAACAATTACCATAGAAAATCCCATACAAACTTTGCCAGCAACAATGCAGTCAAGCATTTTAAATGAAAAACAAACCCCTAATACAACCACAAAAAGTTTTAACTCGAATGCAACCACTACAACAACTGTTGTTGCATCAACTTCAGTCATCGCTACCATTTCCAACAAACTAAAGACTGCAGGAAATGAGGGGCCAGAGGAAGAAGACATTGTTGTTAAACCTACATTTACAAACGAAATGAAAACATTTGATCACTTGACTGCAAATGCAGATGCTGTTGCCACAACAACGTCGGCAGCAGTCATACAACAACATGAAATTGCATCAATAGGAAATACTCCAACAGTAAGTTCTTCAAATATGACAGAAGTAGTTAAAGCTGTGCTAAAACATACTAAAGAAGCAGAACAACAACTTGAAGATGTGCAACATAGAACAACTTTTCGAACAAAAAAATCGAAAAAGTGGCTGAAACAAACAACCCCACTAAAAGGTGGGGATGACATAGAAATGCCACAAAACATGGAAATTTTGTTAAAGCAGGACAAAACTAAAGATATAAATGCAGCACAATTTATAAAATCGACAACATTTGCTACGCCAATAAATTCTGAAACACAAGCAACCACAATAGTCCCCCCAACACCAACATCGGCGGCACTAACAACCACAACAATGGCTTGAAGCATTCATACAAACAAAGCAGGAAAACAAACTTGTCAAGGATGCGCAGAGATGGGCTGGTGAAGGGGTGCCACAAGAAAAAGATGTAGATGTTTTAGATTTTGAAAGTACAACAAGCAAATTGGAGATAAATCTTGAACGTAACGAAAAACAACAGCATGAAATTAAAACAAAAAATGCCACTACAAAAGAGATTAAATCTTCAGCAACAATAAACCCCAAAAGTATGCAAACAAAACTAACTGACACAGTAGTTACAACAACGGCAACAACTATAAAAGCTCTACTTGAGTCCGCAACAACAAACAAAAGAATATCTGAAAAAGCATTAATTTTTTCCCCGGAACTAACAGCCAATTTAGAAAAACCCAATAAAGAGTTGAATGGATTTACACAAACCACCCACAGCATCACCACAACAACTAACTCGCATCTCTCGACTACACAAACAATGACAAAAAATTTTCCTAACAATAAAACTACTACAACAGCAACAAAATCAACAACCGACAAACCATTAAAAGAAGAGAAACATGCAGTAGAAACAACTACAAGTACTACTGCAGCAATATTAAAAACATTCAAGACAATTGAGCCAAAAACAACAGCAACAACTATCCCTACTACTCTGGTTAAAGATAAAGATTTAGCATCAAATTACAATGACAAAAATAGACAAATATCTAAAACTATAAATAAAAACAACAAGATTTTAATAGAAACTACAACAAATAGTAACATTACCAGCAGCACCATCATCACCAGCAGTACAACTACAAGTGGAAATAATAAAAACAATCAAATTGCAAAGACATTTGATATTACAACTACTAACTCAACTGCATCAGCAGCAACTACTATGGCCATCAACAACATTGTCGACCACCAGCAGCAGCAACAACAGCAACAGCACAATCCAGCTCATATCTCAGATATTGTAATGCCACATTATCATCAGTCTTTAGAAAAGGATGTCAATGTTAAATGTATGCAATCAAATTCCAATGGTAAGTAGTATTTAAAACCGACAACAATAACAATGTATCTGCTCTGAAGAATACACAACTTTATTTATAAAAAAAAAAAAAAAAATATGTATAAATTTTAGATTTATTTATACACTTGAATTTGGTTAAAAAATAACGAAAACATATAGAAAGTAAAAAACTGTTGACATACTTAAGGAAATGACCAAAGAATTTTGAGGAAAATTATAGAAAAAATCATAATACTTGAAGAATAATAATTTCAGACATAAATAAATTTAATAATAAAAAACTTTTTCTTAAAACTAGCGCTAACAAGTCAGAGTGTTATATACCCACCATAAAATCATATATCGTAAACATATACATATATGATGCTCCCCTATCCAATGAAGAACCGCGTGGAATCGAATGAATAACCACAAACTGTAAGAAGTGTTTATATGAGGTATGGTGAATTATAGACCGACCCTTATTTCTGTGAAGGGGGCCTTATATGGGCGGTAGGGTCAATTATGGAACGATCCTCATAAAATTTGCTAGACAGATCTTCGTATGTATTAAACATGTTTATGTCAAATAGCTGTACTCGAATTATGAAGCCAGTAATGAGCGCTAAAGTAATTTTTTGAAGGGAACCTTATATGGATCAATTATGGACCATTATTCATAAAATTAGGTACAGAGATTTTCGTTTACATTAAACTTTTAGTTTTAAACGATTTAAAGCAATTCTCTGAAGGGGATGTTATATATGTGGTACGGATGATTATGGATCGATCGTCATAAAATTTGATAGAGCGATTTTGGTACCTTTTCGAATTTTTTTTTAAACTGTTATTTTTAAAACAGTTATAACAGTTACAAAATTTTTCCGGGGGATGCGAAAATGTGGAACAATATTGACCTTATTGGTCCCATTGATGGTTATATTGACGAATAGGTGTTGAATGGTTAAAATATTTATAACCTACACTTCTTTAGTGGTACACTGGTTTTGTGCTGATGTTTATAACGCACAAAAATTTTGGTCATCGGCTTGGAACGGTTAAGTAATGTCATTTGGAACATGGAACATTATTGACCATATTGGTCCCATTGATGGTTATATTGCCGTGAAACAGGGTATCAACGTAAGCGAAATTGCAGACGAATAAATTTTTAAAGGTTCAAATATTTATACCCTACACTTCTTTAGTTGTATACTGGGTTTGTGCTAACGTTTATAACGCAAAAAATATTGGTCATCGGCATGGAACGGTTAAGTCATGTCCGTTCGCCCGTCCGTCCGTCAAAATTACATGAATATCACTTGTAAAAAGAAAAAAGTCCCAACTACATGAAATAACTTCCCAATTTAAAAATATGTCGAAAATTCGACATCTGGAGATATTATTCTGGACATATTATTAAATAAGTCGCTTTTAGTGAAATTCTCAAAAAAATCATCACAAATAGAGCTTTTTAAGAGGATAAATGCTATGACATTTGTTTTTCGGTTACGCCTACTTTCGAGAGGGCGGGGGGTACAAAGTTTAATACATTTCAAGTTTTAATTGCATAATAATGATTTGCAAATTAGACTGTCTACGGCCTGGCACCATGATATGTCCAACAACGGCTTCGTTTATTAAATATTTTCGAAATAGCCGAACTACGAACGGACGCAAAAATTTTCTACTCTATAATATGTTTTCCAAATAGCCGGTCTACGACCGGGCGCAAGCATTTTCTACTCTATGTTATTTGCAACAACGGCTTCTCTTAGTAAATATTTCCGAAACAGACAGTTTTCGGCCGAGAGCGCTTTAATTCAAATCCTGTTTAAATCCTTTAACTAGAAAAGAGATTGCAGAAAGTCTTCATCGCAGTCATCGATTTCAAATCGATATTAACATAATGATGGCCTTTAAACAGGTGTTTTACTCTACAACTCGATTCGAAAGCAAAAATATTTGAACTTGTCAGTTAAATACTTTGTGTTTTGAAAGCTTTTTCATCATTCGAATCGAAATACGGTATAACTAGCTCTCTTGGTGTTGATGACAACGTTTTTATAAATTCATAATATGATAGATCTGTGTAATATGCATCGGTTTTGTTTTGAAAAAAGTGGTTTTGGTACGATTATT